TTGATTGTGGTAGTATTGTTATAATAGAGACATTTAGCTACTTTTAAAGAAAATATTGTATGGAATGTAACATTTTTCTAGGAATCATTTGAACTGTTTAGGCTTCTAATTGTTCCTGAAGAAAATAAGAGGTGAGATACTGAATATGTTAGTACCTTGTTTAACAATATATTATTGGTTCAATCCACGTGTTATATTTTAAGATACCAGGCTAATCAGTGCTCCAGAACATGTCTCTGTACCTCCGTACTTGTCTGGTATTCCAGAAATAGCTACTTCAGAACTGTATGTGGAATTCCAATGAGTTTATACTTCCTGATTAATGTGATATTTTGTCAAGTTGTTGACTCTGTAACACTAACTTTTTAACCTTAATTGGAAAAAGTATTTCTGTGTAGCACAGATAATCAAAGGCAAAATCAATCTTGCTTCTTATGAAGAGAATTATTCACCATGCATTTGGTATTTTGCATTATTTAGAGGATACTTGTTTTTCCACTGCTATTTGATTCAATAAAAGGTCTTTTAGGAGCTTGAGAAGGACATAGAACCTGAAAGTAGGGATTTAAATGATGCACATCTAAATTCTTGTGAATTGTTTCAAAGCATTCACTTTGTATAACTATTTATTTGTATTACCCCTCTCAGAGAAAAGTAATTTCTTTAATTTGATGACATGACATAACTATCACAGTGCCACTGCTGGGATTTTTCCCATATTACTCTAACAGGAGTCACCACACTCCGCATAATAGACTGAAAATCTCCTGTATTCTTTGTTATAGGTGAATGCTTTTTCTGAATGCTCATACTGGAGAGAAAGAGCAGAACAGTCTTGGAAAGACTGTACACAAAGGAATGTGGTCCTGCTGGCTCTTCTGTGGTCCTGATTTTAACCACTTTCTTAGCTCTGAGCCTAATATATCACAAAGTCTGACCTTGTGCAGAACCTCCAGCTAATGTTTATGTTAAAATACATCAGTACTATTTTATTTTTCAGTTGAAAAGGTATATCAAAAGGATAGTTCTAATTTTGTACTGAAATTTCAAACACTGGCACAGCAACTTTAGAAACTGTGAAATTTTGTGTTTTGTCAAAAATTATTTTAAGAAGGTTCAAGTCTATTGCGCAGTGATTTCTCTTAACACACCAAATGACATATACATGTTGTTTTTAAAAAAAATTTCTATAAAACTTCATTATGCAAACCCAGTAATTGCTATGGATTGATCATTCTTGGATCATTGATCAACTATTATTTTTCAAAGTGATTTCATTACTGAAATTCAGTAGTCTTATAAAACATATTTTAAACCCAGTGTTTTCCCTTGTGTCCTACATATACTGTATGATCTTACCTTACCCCTTTACCTTTATTTTTCATTTCTTAATTGCAAATTGATGAAGAAAGAGAGTAAAGTGACTGTTTCTCTTTGATGCAACATAAGTGATGGATAGAAATGACTGGGAAAATGAGGATGCTTGCTCCATGGCTGCTGGGTTTTGTTTTACAGGGTTACATGGTTGCTGGAGGGAACACGTGACAGAACATAAGCTTTTCTGTTGCATTGGCTAAACATTTGCATAAATTTTAGAGGCTGGCTATATGTTAGGTTGTATCTACTAAGAAGCTATTTCTTTTCAAAATACTTTTCTTTGTCTGCAATTGAGACATACAGAAAAAAGGGACCAGCTCTATAAAGTGTTTGAAAGTGAACTTGATAGAAAATATTAAACTTCTCTTTTGTTACAATCTGTAATGAATTTTTTTTGCATCAAAAGTTTTCTTTACTTTTTTTCAAATCTAATTATCTTTTTTTTATTATTTTATTTTAATATAACTAAGCCAACTGTCCCCCTAAGCTGTTCCCCTGCAGCCCATGGAGGTCCATGGTGGAGCAGATATCCACCTGCAGCCTTTGAAAGACCCCATGTGGGACCAGAGGGATGCCCAAAGGAGGTTGTGACCCCATGGGAAGCCTGTACTGGAGCAGGCTCCTGGCAGAACCTTGGGCTTTTTGGAACCCATGCTGAGGTGTGTTTGATGGCAGAACTGGTGACCCTATGGAAGAGACCCAGGCTGGAACAGGTTGTTCCTAAAGGAATGCACCCCATTGGGAAGGAACCCACTCTGGAATAGTTATAAAGAACAACCTGTGGGAAGGACTCACATTGGAGAAGTTCATGGAGAACTGTCTGCCATAGGAGGGACCCCACGCTGGAGCAGGGGAAAAATATGAAGAGGAATGAGCAGCAGAGATAATGTGTGATGAACTGACCACAGACCCCAGCTCCTGTTCCCCTGTGTTGATGCTGAGGAGGAGGGAGAGAATTTGGGAGTGAAGTTAAGCCTGGGAATAAGGGAAGGGTGGGGGGAAAATTTTTAAAGTTTTGGGTTGGTTTGTCATTACCCTACTCTGATCTAATTGTTAGTAAACTAACTTAATTTTCCCCAAGTAAAGTCTGTTTTGCCCATGATGATGATTTTTAAGTGATGTCTTCTTGTCCTTATCTCAAGCCATGAACGTATCATGACATTCTCTCTCCCCTGTCCTGATGAAGAGCATGCAGGCAGCTTTGATGGGTACTTGGTGTCCAGCTTGGTTAACCCACTACATATGGTGACAGCAACAAAAACTGGGACCTTTGATAAAAATACATTTGACATTTCTGCACTTAATAAACTTCTGCACAGCACTTAGGGGCTTACTGTGTCTGAGAACATACATCCTTAGGGTTGCTCAGGGTTTCTCTAACTTTCTGCAAAGGATCTGCATGTAGTGATAAATATCATTATGCAAATCAGACTTGTCCTATTTCACTCCTATAAAATATGCCAAGTCCTATAAAAAGCACCTCTGAAAGGAGAGAAAAATCAAATCTTAAGGGATTATATTGCACCTCTCCAATGGTTTTCAGACTGTGATAGGCATGTGTTCAACCTTATTCTTAATGTAGAAGGTTCCTCCTAATCCACTCCTTTTTTGGCACCCTTGAAGTTTGCCTTCTCTGGGATGGGTGGACAGCCAGGAGGCTACTCTGTCCCAGGGGTTGGTCCAAAACCACCTGGCACAGGCTGAGCAGAGCTGCCACCAGGCTCCTGATGGTTCTGTGGATTTAGCTATGGTTCTATATGTTTGCAGGCTCCTGAGGAACAGGGCTTTGTCTGCTGCTCTGTGAAACTCTCAGCAGGGCTGGGGGCAGAGTGTCATCACGGACTTAAATTGTAGTTGTAGTCTGGGCCGATATAGGGCATTGCTAATTAAATGTGTACCTTCCTCTAAGTAAAATTTTCAATTGGATTTAACCACTTGTTCCACTTGTATGTATTCTTTATTTTAAATACCATAAGAAATACATTTAAAAATGAGTAGCAATATATTTGTTTCCCAAATCTTTGTGCAATTTGGGTGTTTTATTCTCTTTTGCTATTAGCATGGAATTTTATAACAAAGTGTTGATATTAAAAAATGCTGATGTTTCTGCTTTTCAGACTGCTTTTCATCCTTGACTCCTAAAAAGTAACTGTCTGCTTCACTAGTAAACCACACACCTTTCAATATCTGGTCCTTTTGCCCTCAAAGATGTTGAGACACCTAAATTACATTTAGATTCTCTCCCTAAATAAATTCCTCAGAATCAGATTAAAAACATTTGAAGAACAGAATAAACCTTTTCTCATGCTATGATGGCAAGTCGATTCATTCTTTGTCTGTTAAATGGTAACTAGATCCACAGATGTGGATCTGGAGTGGTGATTCAAGATAAGTCCTTCTTCAACTCAAATACATTACTCAGTCTTTTCAAACTGCTGCTGAGGTAATCTTTTTCTTTTTTTACCTCTCCCTCAACAAAAGAGTTCGAAGCTCTTCTAATTGCAAACGACTTTGAAATGTTCTCCCTAGACAAAGAAGGGACAAATTAAAATGCAGCTTTCATGGCATTTTCTGCTGACTTTTCTTGTGTCCAGAATTTAGATATTTTTATTTATTTATGGAATTCTGCATTGTTTGTTATATTGAAGTTGAATAATAACGTTATAGTTTGGGGGTTTTAATATTTTATATTTTAAATTTAGCAGTGAATAACAGCACTTATTTCGAGATCAGGAGCGTCAGTTGAAAAAGGATGGTGAACTGTTATTAAAATGTGGTTTAATTGAAATTTCAAAATGTTCTACTTTTTTATATTCTGTCTCCTTTCTTCTTAAGATCACTTAAGAGCTCCTTTTTTTTTTTTTTTCATACTATCTGGAGTTATTTTATATTAAAGATGTCAAATAAGGGGGCCCAAAATTGCCATTATTAGGACCTGAGTTAGATGCTTATAATTATTAAACTTTAATTTTTTTTTTCTTTTCAGAATATTTTAGTGCGAGATATCTTCGGGTATGTCTGAAGAAATTCATATTAGTTTTAGCAAAAATGGTACAGTCATTATAGAGAATGGGTGACAGAAGTGCTCGGTGATTTGCTTGAGTAAAGTGTTACAAAAAAGCACAGGAAATCTATATTGAGATTTTTTCATGAGAATTCTCTATTTGGATGAGTTATGAGTGTCTGCATCATTCCCTTTTCACGGGTAACAAGCCTCAAGGAAATGACCAGGGAGGTTTTGATTGTGTATTAGAAAAGGTGTTTTCTCCAATGCAGTTTTCATGCACTGGAATGGGCTGCCCAGGAAAGGGATTGAGTCACCACCCCTGGAGGTAAAAAGATGTGTAGTTGTGGCACTCAGGAAAATGGTTTAGTGGTGGGCTTGGCAGTGCAGGGTTAACATTTGGAGTTAATGACATCAGAGATCTTTTCCAACATAAAAAGATTCCATGATTCTATGATTCGCAGTAACCAGAGTGGCTAATCACTTACAGGTAGATCAGTTTACCCCAAATTTTCTGCTCATTGATCTGATTATAACTTTATATTCACTGCGTTTTAAAATTGCAATCCAATTTAGGCCTGCAATCCCTAATCTGACAATAGGTTTATTTATTCTTTTGATTTTATAGTTGTTCAAATCTTTTTGCCTGGAAATCCAACAATACTCCAGGTACTCTGAACCCCACACACTACCTGATTAGAGGTACTATTTTATTTACCTGCTAAACACTTTTCCTAGGTTTTCCTAAACAAACTAACTCTGTCACCTTTCCTGTACCCCATGCTGTACAATAATGTGGGAGGGCTTTTTGTTTCAAAAGATGACCTGGCTCTTGAAAAAAGATATTTCTTATAAAAAAATGCTTTGATTGAACTGAGCTGTGCACACAGATGCAGAATCTTTGGGTGCCCTACTTACCACAACCAGAGATCCTCCCATCAGAGTCCAAGACTGCGTAGTAGGGTAAAATAATATAACAGAAGTGTTTCAAGGTGGAAATATTCTATTTCATGTTGCAATTGTTTTTTTCTTGATTCTCAAAGACTTAATATCTTGAGGGAGAGTTTGTGTTGTCTTAATTCTGTGACAACTGGTGTTTTGGGACAGGAAGCAAAAATGTATTTTACTTACAATCAAAGAACTCTGAAGATAGATGTGCTCTGGGGAACAGGATATAGGAACATGGAAAGCAATTACTGATAGATCAGTGAGTTGCACATGTTTCTTCCCTCTGTAAGTGACTAAATATATAATGGTAAGATTATATTTGGCCAAAAAGAAAGTTCACCTATAATGTTCTGATGCTCTCCTGCTAAGTAGAAAAGCAACAGTGGTTTTTTTTCAGTAATATATCAAAGGATTGTTACTGAAACAAGTAGTTCTTTCATTTTAATGCAATTTTCTCCAGTGTAAAGAGCATTTTGCAGAATATACAGCTGAGAAGTGAGAATATATGTTGTCATCGTAATTCATGCAAGTTTGAATTATTTTCCTATAGTTATCAAGTCTTCTTGTCTTTTTTAGTTGACTTTTTAAGGGAGACAACAGGCAATATCAGACATGTGGCCAAACATCGTGTAATCCTGGTTAGATTTCTCAATATGTAAAATCAAAATCTGTTGCATAAGGATTTCAGTACAACCTTAGTGGAGAGACATCCTTTTTGAATTTTGCTTGTCCTGTTCATGCATGATGTAAGCCCTGTTTTTCCAAAATCACCTTTAATATGCGTGTGTGTGTGCTTCTGACTCTAATGGGTCCAGGTTGTACTCAGGACATCCAGATACTCTAGTAAGATGATTTACTGATACTTCCTTTCATTACCTTAATTCTTTTGGAGGACTAAGTGTAGATCCCATATGATCACACTGTAAATTATTTATATAATTTTAATTGATCCAGTCTGGAAAAAAAATGTAAGTTGTGAGATTGCAAGTCAGAACTCAACTCTTTATGTTTTTTTTCTGTTTTCAGTAACAAAGAATGGCTTTCAGCACCATAACATGTGTAACAGGAAAGAAACACATCACCTACGATTAAAATCTATTGGCCAAAGATGTGTGATCTATAAATTTCTTTTAACAACTGCCAGAAAATGAAACGGCAAGCAAGAGATTCTCATGTGACAGATCATTCCTGAGCCTCGCAGCATGGTAGAGGGAAGGTAGTTGAATTTTTGTGTGGTTAAAACAACAATTAACAGGAGTGCAAATGTACTGCACATCTTGCAGTAAATGAAAAGATCTTTCACTCTCACCACAGAATTAGGAATTTCCTTCATGTCTAGCCCCAGCTCATCTCTGCTTCCCCCTCTCTATTTATTCCACTGAATGTAGAAACAGTTTGTTAGGGATTTTTTATTGTATTCTGAATTTTAATATGACAGCAGGTCAGAAGTGATGCCTCTTGTTAATTAGGGGAACTGGTAGCAATGTCTGAAGTTAAGACTGTGTAATTGATCATTCCTACCTTCCAATTGTTTCCCAAATTGAAAATTTGGGCTGCACTTTTGTGTGCCTGCTTCAGGGTGAAGGTGCTTGGAGAGCCTTGTTAGGAGATGTCGTGAATGATTTAGAAATTCTTAAGAATGAGTTGCTGAAAACTTGTTTTGTTTACATTTCCTTAAATTTTTTGTTAAAATAAAGACCCAGAAACTGCTAAAAACCTGTAATATTTTTATATTAGTGATGCCTTGTCTGAAGCTGTGTCCTATAAAGTGGTCAGTCCACACAATTTCAAGCAGCACTTAGACTTTGAGGACTAAGCTCTTAGCTGACTCTGTGTGTGCTGGGTCTGCTATAAGCCAATATTGTATTTGCATTCAGGATTTTCCTGCTGTTCCACCTCCTCAGAAAGGAATGATTTCAGCTGCAAGTCTTCTGCAATTTAGTACTGTTAGAGCAGAGCTCAATGCATGTCTCAGAACCTGAGGTCCTCTCAAATGGCACTAAATGTTACATTCAGGAAACTACATTTTACTCTAAGATCAGATAGCTTTGTTTTACATAAAAGTATTCAAATGAGATATTTAGAAATTATGTATTTAACAGCACAAATAAGTCTTCAAAACTAAAAGCAACTTAAATATTTAGATCAGGTTTAGCAAGCTCTATGTTAGGAACTAATTAAAACACCCTGACATATTTGTCAGGTTTTATCAGTAAACAAGTGGAGTAAACAATCTCAGGCATTATAGCAAATAGATGTTATAAATTGCTGGGGTTTTACAGATGTGATTGATTCTCTGTAGTTTAACTAAAGATTTCCTTAATTTTGATTTAAAAGATTAGACAATCAGTTTAAAATTATTTCTAGTACTTTATAAAACTGGTTATTCTGGTATTTTTCTCCACACAGTCATCACAGTAAGCTTGCTCTCCCAGGCAGATTGATAAATACTAAACAGAGTTTATTTTGCCAAAAACAAGCCCACAGCTCCTCTCCCCCCCAAAAAACACAAACAACAACAAACCCTAAACAAAAAAAACATGGAGAAGAAGAAGAGGGAGAAGGAGGAGAGATAGACTAATCAGATTTAAAATAAAGTGAAAAATTTAAAATAAGATGTTTATAATTTTAATTTGCAATCTGTGTAAATTGTTTAAGTCTAAAATCCAGCTCTACTGAGGACCAAGCCTTATGGCTGAAAATCCTTGATTTTATGGAACTTAATATGAAAATAACATATAAAAATACCTCTTATTTGATGTTTACTCTTTAATCCTTATTACAGGTGGAAATCAACAGAATCCACTTAAATTTCAAGATGAATATTACACATAGCAAGCGAGCATAATTCCACTCTCCCTTAGAAACATTTTTAAAATTCCCTTCTCTTCCTGTATTTTCTGTTTCTTTCATTTGAAAGAATATTTTCCTAATTTTTTTTTCTCCCTGATTCTGGATTTTGAAAAATTTGTCCACACTTTATAAGTGTTCTTTCCAAAAGCAGGCATAATGTCTCAGTTGCTAAGTTGAACAAAACAGTTATCCCCTATGCCTTCTATTTCTGAGTGAGTTTTATCTGTTTCTTTGAGCTTGTTACGCCATTCATTTATAATTAGTCTGTTGTCAGTTGAAACTGTCAGACCCTTTGCTGCTTTAATGCTGCTTGATCAACTACTCATTATCTGAGCAGTAAGAATGATATTCCGGTCTCTGTCCTCTTGGGTATTTCTGCATGGAACAGCAGCAGAATATCCACTTTTGCAGCTACGACCGCCAAATCACCAGCTTTGCAAGGACCTCTTCTAGTCAGAATCTCCAAATCAGTCGGATTTTCCTTGCAGCAACACCAGCAGTGAAATAACTCCCTGCCTTCTTTTATCAGGTCTGACCAATACAGGTTTTTACAGGGTTGTGCAGCCTCTCTATATGGCTTGTTTCTTGGGTGTGAAAATTAGGACCCTGTCAAGAAGCTTAGCTATGACTGTGTTGGTGAGTGAAGGACTAACAGGGCAGTACATTTCTAAACAATACTCTAGGGGTGCTTCCATGCCTGTTTTCCTCTTATGCCGTGGGACAGGGCTGCGGTCAGTTGGGGTGAGGTCCTTTCCCTCAGGGACCATATCCCCTAGCAACTCCCTGACACTCACCTTTACCCACAGTCACTTATGCCTGCTCCAGGGTTATACTGGAATAGTCACCTGCTCCCAGGCTAACCCTGCATCTGGAACTTTTGGATGCTTATCTGAAGTGGCATTTCCAGTTCATCATCCAGCTTACCAGCGGAGTGTTGAGTAAGCTCTGCTGCATGGGCAGTGACAGAGGGTGACACTTTACTCTGCAGGAGAGTTGCTGCCAGCCATGGCCTCTGTGCTTATTTATTAGTGGAAGCATCCAGAAAGCCTGATAAGAGACTTCAGAATCATTTTTTTGGAGGCATAAAAGTTTAATGCACAAACTTCATGTGTGTGTGCATGTTTATGCAGAATGTGGTACTGCTTGCTCGATTTGCAATATTTATAGTCTTGCTCCAAGAGCTGGCTTAAAATAGATTAAAATAAACACAGTGTTGGTCACCAGTTGACAGAAGGACACACACAACTTCCTTAGAGTTGTGTTAGTTTACAGCAAAGACATATCTGAGGTATTAAGAAGGTAGAAAGTAGAAGTCTGCAAATAAACACCTCTAAAATGTATTTTAGATTCCCCAGACCTGTAAGATAGGGGTCATGTGTGACGGTACTCAACAGCCATAATTAGTGCTAACTGAAAAAAATTAACCAACCTTGTAAAAGTTAAATACATAAGAAATCTCAAATAACTAGTTATTTTCTAGGGAAATCTCAATGACTCAAACTCTCCTACAACCAGTAACAAAACAACTTCTTTAAAAGGTCTTTTGATTATTCAAATAAATTCAAACACTTGTAATCTTAGCTTTTTATTCCTTCTCAAAAGTACTTTTGTGATGTGTTAGGTCAAAATCCATTTGTCAATAAATGGCATAGGAAAAACTTGCCTGCATCATTTTACAGCTAAGAACCTGCTAAGAAGCAGTTGATTCCCATCTTTGTTGGAAGAAATATTAAGAATTATGGAGACATTAGACTTGGTGCAGTTCTCTGTTCATATGTGTAAAAGCATGTCTTGATCTTGAATTCCAGAGGTTTTTCACCTCATTAAAGATTGTGATTGTTATAAAATTCCTTTTTCTCAATTTCAGATGTCATTTTACAAAATCAAAACCAATACAACTACAGGCTATAGTTTTTAGGTGTCTCTAATCATGAAAAGCATATTAGATCTAGTAGTTAGTGTTAAGAAAATATTTACCAGCATAAGGAGAAGAGGACTTTAGAAACAGCCACCAAAAAAAAGGAAGGTGTGAAGTATCTCATCAGGGACATTTTATAAACAGTGATGCAGACTGTAAAAAAATACTATTATTACCATTAATAGCTTTAATATAATTAAAAATATTATAAATAATTCGTACTTTTAATTGATGCTATCTCAGTGGGACACAATATCTACTAGTCCGGAATTTATCCCTTTCTTTGTATGGCAGAAATTTTAGCAGCATGTCATGTAACACCATGTCCCTCCTCAGAATAGAAAACTTAACAAATTTTACATGGCAGAACACGAATAAAGATAATAGTGAAGGCAGAAGCTGATGGATATGGGAAACCCTTCCTGTCTGCAAGAAAAGCACCTTCAGGGTGGTGCAATTAGTTACTTGCCCTCTAAAGTCTACATCAACTCAAGATCAGAATCCTTACATCGTTTCTTTTTTTCCATTTGGTCCTGTATAATTTGTTTTTTTGGGAAATAGTTTGCTGTCTGAAGTTGTATTTTTTCAATAATGGAAAATTGGATAATTGGAACATTGAATAAAGGGATCCCAAAGGGCTTTATTTCCCTAATTTAAATTAAACACACACAAAAAAGGCAGAATAACCTCTCTACCATCTCTGCTGAGACAGAACAGTGACACCACTGCACAGGCTCTCACAGCATTTGAGATGATAAACTGAGAAATTGCAGCTGAATAAGGATCCAGTGGCTGTTTGAGGGCAGCTAGTGGACCATTTCAGCTGAGCATTTTAACAAGGCCACCAGCAAACAGGTTGGCAACTTCTTAAATTTCTGTTATGATACAATATATAATAAACAGATTATATTGGCATCCTCAGGAGGGCAGAGATGATAACATGGCATTGTCCTACTGATATCATCTGTGCTGTCATGGCTGTGTTAAATCTAACATTGTTAATGAGAAACATCAGAAGATTTTGCAAGATCTTTAGAATTCCCTGAATTATTAATATTTTTGAGTTCTGGGTATATCCTCACAGGATCAACATACAATTATGTTTTTCTGTTTCATTCAGTTCATACCCTTCATACAGCTAAATTTGATGCTTCCAACTGGAGAGCAAGTTAAAGTGAGTTTACAAATTTCTGCAACATTACACAGGCAAAATTGCTTAGTTAATTTTCAAATAGCATGAAAACTGATTTTTAATTGTATTTGCAACTGAATAGAGAAAGGGTACCTGTTGAATATCAGATTCATTTCAGATCGCAGTCTTCAAAAATTGCTAATTAAAACAGTGGGTCATATCTTGTGGTCTCAAAGACATTTGATTTTTCTTTTACTTGGAAACAATACCATCCTGTTAACTGTTACTGAAGAACAAATCTGACAGTTACCAGGAAAGGGCAAGGTAACCACATACTGACAGGATTTTAACTTTGTCAGTATTATGTGGAAGGCCTAAGGAAAATGAGCATCACAGGGAACAAAGCTGTTGTGCTGTGATGAAACTGAGACAAAGTGTTTACAGCTCCTCCTCTATGAACTAGGCTTTACATAAACTCACAGTGAGTTTCTAAATAGATTTACACTACTGAAAATGTACTCGTATGGGTAGTAAGTTTGCACAAGTGACATTATAAACACGGTGGGTAATATTCTGGGAGCTGCAGGATATCCATAAATGTCGGCAGTAGTGCCTTAAAGCCACTTATGTCTAATTTTCTCCAGAAGGAGAAAAAAAATATACTCCAATCTACAAAAAAAAAAAAACAACCAACCCTGCTTACAGAAAACAAACAAAAAAACCCCTCTAAAATACCCTCCCCAAAATTTAAAATACTAGAAAAATAAGAAGATGTGATGTCATTTCTTAGAATGACAGAACTCTTGACTGTGACCTTGAGGATGGTGACTTGGTTTGCTGACAGGCAGGGTTGGGAGGCTTTGATTCCCTTCCAGATCATCCTCCTCCTCTGAATACAGCCATGGACATCAGTCCTGCAGCCAAGGTACATGGCTTTGCTCAGGAAAAGCTTGCCAATGGGGTCAGGTAGCTCAGTTGCCCATCAGGAGACCCATTTTCCTCTAAGACATCAAATGCTAAGTGCTTTCTTTACTTCTCAGGAATATTTTACTCTTAAGACCTGTGGTGCCAGATACCTGGCAGTGTTTGAAACTATGAGCCTTTAATTCCTCTTCAAGCTATACTTCCTTATAAGGCAAGAAAAGCTGTGACTCTCATCAAACCATAAAAAAGGGCCATGTTTACAAATTGTGGAAATGATTGTAAGGCAAATAAATAACAACAAGGTTCTGTAAGTTCAGTTTTGCATATGGCAATGCAGATGGCTTATGTCCTAAAGAGAAATTCTAAATCTTTCATTGACTAATGAAACAACACAGCTAGTGCTTCAAAGGTTGATGTAGTTATGTCCACTGTGTGCTCAAGGAGTCTACTTTGAGAGAAGGAAAAGAAGAATACTGCTGAAGCATTTTCTATTACCCCAAATATATTTATCCTTCCTTTTATTTGTAGTATATATCTTAGAAAGTTGAGAATGGAAGTCGCTGAATTTTCTATACTTTTTGTCTTATTTGTATGTGAATTTGCTAGATTGTCATGAAACCTGGGTCACTGACACCTGAATAGAAAAAAAAATTGAAGAGAGTCAGAAAGTAAGGAACATTTATTTTAAAGAAAATCTGGAACTAGACTGTTGCAATAATAGGAAGAAAGGTTGTACTTAGAGGTTATCAACCTTCACAGTCCTCCTACATTTATTAGGCAAATGAAATATAAATTTGTTTTTTGCTGTTAAGTCTTTATTTCCTGAATTTAAGGGGTGTCTGACTATCAGTATGATCTCGTATTGAATTGTAGTGTTCTTCCTCTTGTTGTAGAGCATTATATTGATTCAGATAACACCTCTGCAGTCAGTCTAATTGTGGGATAAAATACTAAATGGTCTGAAAATCTGAAATACACTCCATGACTTCTCTAAGAATTTAGTATTCTGCCATTCTTTGCTTTCAGATATTTTCCAGATCATGTGCTACTTCACAGCTGAGGTCATTCTGCAATGGTCTTAAAAAAAACGGAAAATCCAAGGAGCTGTCAGTCTATTTCTGATCCATTTTTTATGTTCTCACCCCTGTTGTACAGGAAAGATTATATATAAGATGATCTTAAAATGAGAAATGTAAATACATTGAATATTTGGAATGAGGTGAGAAATGTCTTTATAATTTACTGCTGCTCTTCAAAGATATTGGCCTTCCAGGCAGCTAAGCACCTGATTACAAAGTACACAGAAGTCAGGGAAAAAAAATATAGAAGACTTTGATGATCTTTCTATCAGGTCATTTTATTTCACGCCTTGTGTTAGTATTTACACTGTTTATGAAAAATTTTGAAATGAGTAGATTGTGTCTGCCAGTTTTTATTTGAATATCTTATAAGGATTCATAAAGAAGTAATGTTAACAGTTTTATCAATCCTTCTGATAGATTCAAAATTGTTTTCTGTTCATCTCAAAGTTTCATTTTTTTCCACGGGGAAAAACAAGCCAAATTCTATAACCTTTGCCCATGATTTATAGTAAATCCGCTGCATTGAATCTATTGTTCAGACTCAGTTTCATTTGTCTTGCCCTACGCTGCACTTTCTGTAAGGCAATAACACAGTTTTCTTTGGCTGATTTATGCTAGGAATGTAATTATGAAATTCCAAGTCTGGGTCCTGCACTCCCTTCTCAGATATTCAACAGAAAAAATCAAAGGCCCCTTTGAAATAGAAAGAAAGGGAGCTAAGCCTACAACAAGGCCATTTATTGATGTTTGAAAAATTTTTTACACCAGTTCACGCTGTCAAGCCCTGTAAATGCATTTTTGTGGCCAAATATAGGGGAAAAAAGTTAGGAATATAAACAACAACTGTGGGAATTGTTCTCAGCTCTGAGCTACACAGGAAGGCAAAGTCAAGATGATCTCTGCGTACTTAGTAGACCTGCTTTTGTTGTGGGTGATCCAAAGACTCATGGATTATTCCAAGAAAAGCACTCTCACTTAGCTCTGATGTCCTAAAGGCACTTTTTACTCCAAAGTTTCAGTGGCTGTCAGAGATACCAGATCCCATAGTTCACATTTCATTCCCCTTAGAAATTAAGACTGCTCTGCTGCTCAAAGAAATCAAGACACCAAGGTAATTAAACATTTTTTGGTTTTTTGCTGTTAAGTCTTTCTTTCCTGAAGTTAAGGGGTATCTGAATATCAGCATGATCTCTTTGTGAATTGTACTGTTCTTTTTTGTAGAGGGTCTCACTGTGAGCCACATTAATGACAGCTAACAATATAAGGAGTCGAACAAAGAAAATGTAAGTAATATTTTAATTAGAAACAAACCTTCTCATTTCATACCTATTGTATGAAACACAATAAAGTAGAAAAAATAGAAACACAATAGATAGTTTGCTCTTGATGAAGTAAAGACAAAAGAAAGAAATAGCCTGACTAATTATGGAAAAAATTGGTATTTAAAAGAAATGCTGAGGAAGAAAGGACATATATATGAGGCAGACCACAGTTTTCAAAAACAACTTGCATTACAATCTCCAATGTGTTGGGACAAAGCTCCAGTCAGTGAAAGAGAGGTCTATTTACATTACTAATATCTATAAAGGAAACAATTGACATAGTCGAAGAGAGGTTAGATAAAAAGCCAAGGATGACTACAATAGAGTTCTGGGAAATTGCTACTTGATGTCATACATGTAAAAAAGTATAAAACTGAATAGATGGAGACCTAGAAATTGAAAAATGGAATAACGACATTCACAACAATTACATTTGTGTACTGCTTAAAATTACCAGCCTAATTACTTTCAAATGCTTCTCCTCCTTTGAGCCAAGCTTTAGAACTATATACACGACATGAAATAGTCATGGAATGTTGCCCCACTAAAGTGTAGATGTACATCTACAATTATAGCTCTTGTCTGTGCCTTACACTGAGGAATTATGAAGTAAAAGAAATATCAAAAACCATTTAGAGCGATTTAAAAAGAATTAGGCTGTTACTAATTAACTTCCTTTCTCAAATTTTCTGATACAAAATGTAGAAAAAAAAGAGCTCCAGAATGAACTTTTTAAGGGATAATATTCATTCACATTGAGAAACTAGTAGTCAGAATAGTAAACACTGTTATAAGAAATTGTCACCTTTCACACCTCAACATGAAATCTGTTTTAAGCGTAACACTCATTTGTAAACTCAAAGAATCAAGGCTGTAGCCTTGGGATTATTCCTTAAAGTAATCATTGTGGCTATGAATGTGTTTGAAAAAAATTATGAAACCCTAACATTGTAATGCTACAAAGATTAGACAGGGCAATCCAACTGTTCATTTTCATTCCAAAATGCTATACTCAACATAAAGTATCATTGTTAATGTGAAAGACTTAGTTAATCAAAGTCTTTCCTTACACAGAGTACAAGAGATGCAGTGAAGTGATTTAACCTTCAGAGCATCACTCCTGTAATTGAACCATACACTTTTATTCACTGGCAAACAAGGCAGACTATGGGTGGTTTATTGAAAATGACAGAAAAGAGAGGACAAGGTTTTAAGTTCAAAAAAGAAAGAGGATCGTATTTTACTATAGGCTTATAGACTACTGGGAAGCTATTGAATATATCTAGAAGAATATGAACACTAATGTTGCTTTTTCAAGTGCAGAGAAGTAAAATACAGTTATTGTTATCAAAACAGAAATAATTAGGTGGAGGAGGGCATCATTTTATTGATCTATCATCAGGAGATTTAACATATTAGGAACCTGTAAACAAACCCTCTCACAATGGAAAACATGTTCTATGATAATAATACCTGAAGACAAGTAGTTTATTTTCATTTAGGTGCAATGAATGCCAGGAGAAGGACTTCATCAGAGGCAAAAAATAACTATAATTAAATAAAAAAAATATGCAATTAGCTGCTCATGCATCAATGGGGACGACTCATTACAGAGAAGGTATGAAAAGTAGGAAAGATCAAGAAGAGACTACAGGAATATTCAAGGATCTGAAAACTAAAAAAAAAAAAAAACCAAACCAAACCAACCAAACAACAATAACAAAAAAAACCCAAACAAAAAACCCACCAAAAACCAACCCCATTGTCAATCACCTTCAACACTGAAACAAGCATGAAATATTTTAAAAATAAAATAAAGAAAAATTAATCTAAGGGATACACTGGAGAGCTTCATTGGTAAAAGGTAATTGGCTAGAATAAGAAATAAAAGGCCAAAAATAAAACAATCTTAAAATGTATATGGATGTCAAGGTAAAACTCCCAATGAGACTCTGTTGGGAAATGGTTGAAGAATATTTTCCTACGTATAATTGCGGTATTGTTGTTGCTTATGTAATTTAAAACTGTCTTGTGCGATGCTTTAAATCTTACAGATCTTGAATTCTTGGTTTCACATCATGATTTTTTTTTCTTTTTTTTTTTTCGACAATGTGACTCTTTTCTCAATGCATTGAGAAATTCAAAGTTTCAATCTGTCCATTGAGTGGATGAAGTCTCCACCTTACTTAAATATATGGGCCCAGGCACAGTCCCCAGTTCAACACTTCAGCCAGTGCTTGCCATGTCCTTCCTGTGACCAGTCAGCGGACATGACCTTCCCTGGACTCCAGCACAATTCCTGTAGCAGGCATCCCAGCTTGGCCAGATGGATGAGGATTCCCAGCAGGAGCTCATCAAGCGCCCACATCCATGGAGGCACAGAAACTTAGAAAAGGTGGTCTTTTCTCTGACTCAGAAACACCAGTTAGTTCTCCAATGATTTGGGTAATACTTTAGAGGGCTTTGAACTTTACACAGATCTTTTAATTCTGAGGAACACAGAGTTGATATCTGTAGCATGTCAAGAGGGTAGCTAAGCTCTAAGGTAGTTTGTGTAGGAACACTCCCTCCCCCTACCTGAAACTGGGCAAATGTGCAACCAAGAATACCAGTTTTATAGATCCAGAAAACAGCAGGCAAAAAATAAACTTGTCTTTAATCTGTGGCTCTGAACTATGCCTCATTTTATATGTAACATAAAAATGCAAAGAGTAGAGTAATAAGAAAAAAAATGTAGAGGTGGTGCTTAATGGAAACAGATAAAATGAGTAAACAATAAAGTCAAAGCTGAAGTGGTATAACTTATTTTCTTAAACCTCTTAGCAAGATTCTTTATCTTTGAAAATTTGTTCCTTTGTGAAGGATAATGTTAATAGGATACTCAGAGAGATCATTGTTAATAAGGAAATGTTAAGTTCAAAGTAAGATAAGGAGTTATAGGCTCAGGAATGTGTATGTAGTTTTTATAATATGAAGTCTTGAAGGTACAAAGAGGGTACTAGATCTGGCAAAGAATGTAGACTGCACTGAATGTAGACTGAAGGGTTGTTTCGTTGCCCCATACCTTGCCTGAATGGAACATATGCATACCAATAGTTTCTACCAGTAAGATGCTCTAGGCCTAAAAAGATGTTCATGTGGAAATGCTCAGAAGTGCCTCTACAGGTATCTCTTCACTATTAATTCCAAAACCTTCTTAAAGCGTACACAGTGGAAAAAGAATAAACTTCTGTTTTCTTTGTTTGTATGTCTTTGTGGATAGACACATAGATAACGAGAGTTTGCCAAAATAAAGTACAACGAGACTAAATTGCTTCCCTCTTTTCTTAGATCAATAACCCTTGGGGATGACTGATAAAATATAAATTTATTGATTATTTAGATTTGCAATTTTACATAGTGCTTACCTATCTGTATTTGTGTAGTTCAAAACATACACTTCCCGGTGTGACATCACCTGCCATGAATAACAGGGATATTCCTTTTGCAATATTAGGTGAAGACCGAGAAAGATCAGGAAGGATCGAAAGCCAGGAATGATGTTCATCTGTCTTAATAGTTATAAGAATAGAATAGAAGTGATTCCATGCTTTCATAGGGTGGGAAGATTGTGAGGTTGGAGAGGTGAAAAGATAAAAACCCCACAGCTTTTAGTTCTCACATAGCAGAGCCAAACCATGACACATTTATGAATAAATCTGTTCTAGTACCATTCCCAGCTCCAAGGAAAAAGAAGAAAAAAAAAAAAGAAAGAGAGCAAGAAAGCCAACAGAACAATGAGTGTCAGAAACCTTGATAAAAGACTTTTTCACAGAATTTGTACTCTGAATTCGCTAACACAAGAAGTGTAGGTAGCACAGATAAGCCTTATACATTTTGGATACTGAACCATACTTCTTTGCCCTAAATTTTTGAAGCATCCAATAGTTCCTGTAGTTATAAATGTAGCTTTAAAATCAAATTTATAGAGCAGAGCATTTTAAGAGTTATTCAGGCACTTATATTTTTCTTTAAAAAATGCTGTTTCAGCAAAATGTAAAGCTGATTTCAAAGAAAGTTTCAGCTCTAAGTATTTCTCAGAACCAAAGCATTTATTTAAAAAAAGAAAAATGAGGTTTAGCCTTTCATGTCAGAATAGCCAATATTTTTTCATAAGGTTATCAATCTCTCAGATAGGGATTTTTTTTTTTAAATTCAAGCTCTGATTAGCAAAGGGCAAAACCTGATACTGAGCCCAGAGAAAGTCCCCTTACTGTTTTGACATTGGTCTTCTTCAGTTAATTCTGCTTTTCTTTTTTTAATGAATACACTGAGTCCCAGATGATACATATTAGGGACAAAAAGTTTACAAATTGCTTTTACAGGAAAAATTATAAAGTGTAATTCTAGAGTGTTCACAAATGCCCCTTTCCCCCCTTTCCCGTCTGACCCTGATTTATGTTTCTAAGCAGCGAGAAGGGGCAGTGTAGCTCTTACTCCTGGGATGAAACTAGTGTAACACTCACTGATGGGGTCACAGTGGGTTGCACAGGTTTCTACTGCTTGTCTCTGGATCACTTCCTCAATGTTCAGCTTCCTTTGGATCCAACAAATAAGGAACTGTTCCCATACTGGGGACTCTGGAGCTCTTTCCCATGATTCACCTCAGGTACTATTGTGTCGTAATTGGAATTGCCCTCTAAAGGCAACTGATCTCTCTCCATTGACCATTAAAAGAGTTTATACACCCCTCTTAAAGTATGTTTTCACTTTACAGATGGCGATGAATCACCTAGGAGAAATCTCTTCATTTTCAGGACTGACCTATATATAATATTATGCAACATTTTTCATTTCTCATTTTTAGATATCCTAAAAGAGAATGACTAAACACACTCTTTTCTGGGCCAGAATTCTTTAGTTTGTATCCATTTAAATGATAAACCCTTTTCATTCTGCTGAATTTTCTGTTTCAGATTCATTGCCT